TTTTTTTTTTTTTTTTTTTTCACTTCTTGAGTTCATTTCTCCGTCCAGGAATGGGAGGGAAGGCTGAATGTTGGCATGTCGAATTCTGTGACAACTGCAATTCGCGGAAGTGTTCGGGATATGGCAATTGGTAAAACAAAAACAACAGAAAAAGCAGACCGTGCAACTGTTGAGCAGGTGAATGACAATTAACTGATTTCTTAGATGGTTAATATCTTTATTTCTTCTTTTAGGTTGTTCGTGTGGTTTAATATCATGTTTTCTAGCAAGAGTGCTTACAAGATGTGCTGATCACGTCTCTCTATATGCTCTCATCAATTCTGCTACTGGCTCCATAATTGAGTTTCGCAGGAAGCATGCGTGTTGAGTTATTCCTTGTTTTTTTTTCATGATTTTCCTTGTTAAATAATCTCTACATGCACGCTAGCACTCAGACCCAGATATCTATATGGAGTTGCCTGATTATCAAGTTTTTCTAGTCTACAACAATTTTGAAGTCTGATGACAATCGCACACAGACGTTTTATACGTTTAAGTGTGAGCCTGGATAAGCCACAGTAAAAGCATAAATTTGTTATTTATGATTTTATTTTGTTGTTATCACATTAATTTGGAATCTGAATGTACAATTAAAACTATAACTGCTATCATCGTGCTTAAAAATCTTATCTTGCTTTCAGGCTATTGACCCTAGAACTCGTATGGTTTTATTCAAAATGCTGAATCGAGGTGTATTTAATGATATCAATGGGTGCATTTCAACTGGAAAAGAAGTATGCATCACACTCCTATATTCAAGGCTCCAATTCTCCTCCTCTTACTTATCTTTTCTCTCTCCTCTCAACAATAATTATTTTCCATCTTATAATGTTATAGGAAACTCACACGTGCTAGAACTTTATGTAACTTGTCTTTTGGTTTATTCTTCGTTTACAGGCCAATGTTTATCATGCTACAAAATCTGATGGTCAGGAACTGGCAATCAAGGTCTACAAAACTTCAATTCTTGTATTCAAGTACGTTGAGTGACCTTTTGGTTTGTTTCAACCTATAGATAATCTTATCTGTTNTTTTCCATATACATGCATGATTTTCCAAAATCCATGAATGTATTAAGTTACCATAACTTCCAACATTGGCAGTAGATACTCATCAACTATACTATAGAATGCTTATTGTAAATCACATGAAACAATCATTTTTTAGTCTCAACCTGTGATGCTCGGACCCTTGTTTCTGATCGGCATGCCTGTGTTAATACGACACAACACGGGTACGGGTATGAAATATGGGACGAACATTGCAATTTTCAATCGGACACGGCAATCTAGGAAGACTGATCTCGGCGGTGCCACTATGAAGAAAGTAACAGAAAACTTACTAGACGCGGCGACAGTGTTGTGATGTCTGTAAGGTAGAGACTCTATTGGTGGGTACAATTGTGATCAAGGCGCAATTGAAGTTTCCGACGGTAGAGATTGGGTAGCAGCTGGTTTATTTGGTGGGTTTGGCGTTGTTGGGGATAAGGAGGAGGATATGGCGATGGAGATTCTTCCCTTTGAGGGCGGCGGCGTGGCTAGGTGGAGGTGGTAGTGGTGGTGGTGGTCTGCGGAAGGCTGGGGAAGGGGAAACGTTGAATTGGATTAGGGTTTGTGGTTAAGATTGTATGGGTTTTTGGTGTTTTAATAGGTTGAAGGCTTTGGTGTTGATGGTGGGCTATTGATTATTGGGTTTCGATTTTTTTGGTGGGTTGGTTTGAACTTAATTATATGGACAGGTTGGCCTGAGAATATTGGGTTATATTGGTTGTATATATGGGCTAGTATGTGTTAAGCTAGGGTAATATAGGTGGGCTGGACTCAAAGAACAACAACAATTGAAAAGAAATTTGAGTTTAGCATCAACTCATATATATAAAAAAATTGTTAATTATTATTTAAGTTTTTACATGTGAATTTTGGGGGACAAAATTGAAGTTTGAAAGACGTATCAATGTCCGAAATTTGGACTTTTTTAACCATGTTCCCGTATCCTATATTTCAGAAAATAAAAGATCGACGCTTAGATAGTACCCGTACCAGAGTCCGAGCATCATAAGTCTCAACTTTAGGAGCCTTTGTTGAAAATAAGTGATGAGAGAGTTAAGGAATTAAAATAGTCTAACCAAAACAAACTTCAATCTTTAGACGGAAAGCTAAATTGATTAAGTTTTGTCCACTTCTACCTGCTCAAAGGGTAAAATGTTAATTTTAGCTTTAAGTAATAATTATAAACATAACTTTTCTTTTTTTGTAATCTATTATTTTTAGCGGCATTACAAAAGGTGAAGCACAAGACAGGGCATCTTGTGTGGTTATATCTTTTTGATTTGGTCATAGAAAAGGAAAATGTAGAAGTAACTCGGTAGAAAAGAACACAACGAAATGCTATATACTTCTTCCCTGAAACATGTAACCCAATAAATAAACCGTATATTGTTAATACCTCCACAATGCTGTTTATCATATACATGTAAAAGTGTTCTTTGTATGGAGGCAAAATCTTTAGAAGAAGGTGTAAGTAAGTGTTCTCCTACCAGCCGCGTTACTTTAGTTTTTTTTTGGTTCAAGCTACCCCTCATTCATGAAGGCATAAGCCACAAAGAACTTTACTTACTTCTGGGGTGACCTTGACTCCCTTAAGATATTTGGTTTCTAAAGTTTGTTATGAGAGTATAGAAAATTTGATCGAAGACTTGTATATATGAGGAACAAGATCTGTTTCGTCCCCTGTTGGGATGTACTATTAAACCAAAATTGGGGTTACCTGCTAAAAACTATGCAGTTATCTTTACTTTTATCTTATGAAATTCTTGTTCAACTCTATGAACTAAATTTCCTGCAAAACAAACATGCTTTGCCCCTCAACTTTCAACCTTAAAGTGGAAAAATAAGGTTCATGCTGATCACTTACAAATGTAAAAGCATGTAAAATATATTACTGTAGATAGAATTTCTGGCATATTCTCGGGGTTTCCAAATTATACCCCTAATTCATGCTTCAATTTTGTCCACGTGGGTTTTTTTATAGCCTGAAGTCTCATTGTAATTGTGCTCTGCACATGATCTGCACACTAATATTGCTTATATCACTGCTTCAAATAACAGGGATAGAGATCGCTATGTGCAAGGTGACTATCGTTTTAGATATGGATACTGCAAGCACAATCCTCGAAAAATGGTTAAGACATGGGCTGAGAAAGAAATGAGGAATCTTATGAGGTAAACACCCTGTTGGCTGCCTTACATGTCTTGTTACCTTGAAGGTATAGAGTACAACTGCTGCTGATATTCAAACTTTATAGCCTACCATTGACTTGTTCAAGTATAAACCTTGAAACTTTTACTTATTTAAGTGCAATCTCTAGAAAACTGTGATTTGTTGAATGTTCCAGATGGGGTGAAGCAAAAAGTTCATAGCTTTTTATTTTTGGGAAAATGGTGGGATTTAAGTTCGTGATAATGGTGTACGGCTCAAGTTTTTTAAAGAAGTTATAAAAATTCTTACAGGTGACTTGAAATTTGGAAAGAATTTCGTCTAAACACTTTATTCACACTGGTTTCTAGGCAACAATGTTTTGATCAAATGACTGTCACTAATGGTAGTAGTTAATCAGGGAATTAAGCTTATATGAAATCTTAGTCTCAATAAATGTTACAAATTGTTGTAGACTTGTGGTGCTTTAGAGCCAAAATCAGGTTGAAAGGATTATGTCAAACATACATGTATTATTTTTGTCTCTGTCGTGATTCAATTCCATCCGTGCTTGTGGGTGAACTGCAGATTAAGGGCTGCTGGAATCAGGTGTCCAGCTCCCCTTCTTTTGAGGCTTCATGTTCTGGTTATGGAATTTATAGGTATTGCCTTGATATTCTGCTTGAGTATCTTTGCTTTCATTGTTAGAAGTAATGGTGAATTTCTTTTTATGACAGGCAAGGCAGGTTGGGCTGCACCTCGGCTCAAGGATGCTGCTTTATCTCTTGACAAGTTACGTGAAAGCTATGTGGAGGTGGGCTCAGATATATTTCTATTAGGTTCTTTATTTTTTGACAACGAGTTTGATGCCTGAATATAGAGAGGTGGGCTATGTAGACGGTTGACTGGAGTTGGCTTTATATAAGCTACATCCGTTTGATCCTCTTATTAACTGATATCTGTTGGTCGATGTTGTCAGATCCAGAGTTATCATAAATCTACTTTTGACTTGGGAGATTTTTAGGAAATTTGGTACACCGTTGATCTGGAATGCTGAGTTTGTTAAATAGAATTGTTATTTTCTGTAGCTTCCCTCTAATATTATGAGTCAAAAATGTTAAATTGAATTTTTTATCATAAAAAAGACAACCTTTCATGCGAAAGGTTTGATGGCACTCCATTTGGTCTTTCTGTAAATCAGATTAAAAAGTTATTAAGCCTTCTCTAATGTATCCCAGTCTTCACAAGGCAAATAATTTATCATGACTCCATTCTACAAATTATAATGATCCACGGAAAGGGTCACATTGGTAAACTTTCTGTTATGGGCTCCATTGTAACATTACTTCCTTTTTAGTTTAAAAAATGGATAACCATCAATATATAGAAGATGACTTGTGAAAATGGCCTAAATGTTCTATACATTTGTTTTTGATTTGATGTTAGCACATGCTCCCCTCCCAACCCAGAAAAGAGGGAAAGAAGTTTGAGGTCAATTGTTTTCTGTCATATTTTCCAGATGATCATGGCCATGCGAACATTATATCAGAAATGTAAACTGGTGCATGGAGACCTCAGCGAATATAACATACTCTATTTTGAGGTAAATCTTTATTTTTTCTGGTTTATAAACATGGTACCCTTGACTATGAATAATTTCTGATAAGTATATTGAGCAGGGACACTTGTACATTATTGATGTTTCACAATCAGTTGATCTTGACCATCCACATGCCCTTGATTTCCTTCGAGAAGATTGTATTCATGTTTCGGTAAGTCTCTCTCTCTCTCTCTCTCTCTCTCTCTCTTTGTTTTCTTATGTATCGAGGGTTTCAGTTGAATAATTCATGCAAATTAACAAGTGTTATGGCAATTAATGATGTTGATTAAATTGTGTAAGTGTGTGTGGCCTGCAGGATTTCTTTAAAAAACACGGCATAGCTGTTATGACAATTCGGGAACTGTTTGATTTTATAGTGGATCCCACTATTGATGATGATTCCGTGGACAGTTATCTTGAAGAGGTACATTTCCAATAGCTATTGTCTAATGGCAAAACTTTTTATCTTCATTATAATTTCTCTTTGATTTGTTGCAGGTGCAACAAAAAATTTTGGCTAGAGGTGATGTGATCTCTGCAGAGGAAGAAATTGCAGATTCTGTATTTGTGCAGGTTTCAGTAGAATTCATTTTCTCTCTTTCTTTTCTTTTTTTATAAATTATTCAACACCTCAGCATCTTACATTTTTTGCATTGAACTTCCCCGATAAATTTGTGGTTGGTTCCACAAATCCTTTTTCAACGCTCCTCTCAGTAGATCTAGCAATGTACCTAGAATGGTAAAAAAGTATGCGTGTAAAACTTATTTATGGAACAAGGTTATTCTGTTGTTGGATTTTTTTCTTGTTCATTATAGGGCATGTTTAATGATTGTTGGAATCTTGTTACCAGATTATATAGTTGGCGAGTTTGTGCTTGCATAAGATTGGCAATTTCTATTGAGTCGTCAATTTCCGAATTACCAGCACTGTGTTGGATTTATGCTTTATTTTATTTATTTGAATAAAACCTAAAAATATCATTGACGACATATAGTGCTTATATTAAATCAGTTTTGGAGATATAAAAACAAATTTTAGTTAATGATTTGGGCAAGTCTTTTTCTACCGTATTGGCTAATTATGTTGTCTTTATTTCATCTAAAGCTCAAAATTTAGGTACATTTTATTTTAGCAAAATGTTATGACGAATAAATTATGAATTTCTCAATGCTACATTTTGTTTGCTTTTTCTAGTCGTTCATTCCAAAGACACTGGATCACGTGAAGAATGCTGAGGAAGATGTGCAACGAATTACAAGTGGCAATGATACAGGGGACATGTATTATCAGACCATTACGGGTCTGAAGCAGGCTCTTTCTATGGCCAATTCGTCTCAAGCAGAAACAGAGAAACATCAGTTGAATGGAAGTCCAGTAAATGGGACCTCTGCTCAGGCCGCTGAACATCCTGACTTGACACACGGAGATTCGGAGTCTGGAAGTGATGACAGTGAAAACGATTCAAGTGAATCGGAGGATTCATCTTCTGAAAGCAATAAGCAGGGGTCAGCTGACAGAAAAGCAGCCAGGAAAGAGAACAAGAAGAAGGTTAAAGAAGAGAAGAGGGAGGCTAGAAAACATAAAGTTCCCAAAGCCGTGAAGAAGAAAAAGAAAAAGTTGGCTAAAGCCAAGAAATATAGGTAAGCATCAGGTTGTCACCAGCTGAACTACCTCAACCTTGTAAGTATAGTATTACGTCTAGTGGACGCAATTTTGCAGTTTTTGAGGAAATCAACAATATTGGCACACCTTATAGTGAGTACTCTATATTTTAAGTTATACTAGTCGTGCACTTCCTTGACTTCTTTTATCCATTTCCTTCACTTCATACATTTGCACAAAAGATCCGAACATGTGCTCCCACATAACTTTCTTGTGATGAAGAGATGAAATAGTGTTGGTTAATTTGCAAGTTGTTTTGTCTGAATACTCGTATATAATTTGGTTCAATTTCTGCATTGCTAAATTTAAGCTTTTTTTATTTATCTATAAAGATTAAGAGAGGTTGGTTTGATCTATGTATGAAGCTCTTTCCATGTTGCTACTTAGCTCCAAAATTTAGCTCTAGAAGGCCATAGCATTTTCTGGGCTTTATTGGAAGCCTGAAGCTAACTTGTAATCACACTGAAGCATTGATGCTCCTACTAGGTGTCTGTGTCTAGTACATATCTCACACCGACACTCAGACACTATTCGGTTATTTTATCGATGGTCTGAAGCTACTTTATTCATACCAAAGCATGGACACTTTTGCTAGGTGTTGATGTTGGATACATATTAGGTATTGGCACTCTTCAAATATTATGCTTGTTTTATCGACGATCTGAAGCTCCCAACAACGACACTCCTCAGATTCTCTATAATCAATTTATTGGAGGTCTGAAGCTACTTTATCCATTCCGATGCCTGGACACTCCTCTTCGGTTTGTATCACACCGATAACTTAAGATACACTTCAAATATACTGATAATTTTATTGGTGATCTCAAGCTACTTAATTGAGTCTTGAAGTTCCATCTTGAAAAGTCAACCTTGTTAAGAGTAACTCAAGCGCTTTTAGGCTAGATGATGTTTTCATACAACATGGGATTTACACATAATATATTATCCTTGCCGAAGTCTGGACAGTCCTTATATACTTAGTGATAATCTTATTGTCAGTGTGAAGTTACTTTATCCTTGTTGGAGCCTGGACACTATTAGGTGTCGGCGTTGGAAAGATTTTGGATACTGACATTCTTCAAATACTATATGAGGTGTCTACGCTGTTTGAAGTTACTTTATCCATGCCAAATCGTGGACTCTCCTCATAGGTGTAAGTGTCGTCGCATTGAAGACGACGCCTTCAAACATTATGTAAATTTATGTTTACATGATAGAATGCAGTCAAGTTTTGTTTAGCCTCCCTTTAGTTGAAAAGGAAGCTTCTGAAAGGCATCAAAATATTTGTTTGAATAATTTCATTTGTGTAGCTTTTCCTATCATTTCTCTTTCTTGCTATTCACTATTGCCTTGGGCTAATTTACTCCGAGGTATGTTAAAGGGCAAATAAATTGTTTATTTCCATGCAAATTGAAAGGTATTTCATTTTTTCAAGCTTAAGAAGCACTGCCATTAATAATCCATCACGGTATTCATCTCTGATATAGGTGATGATTTGTGAAGTGTATTAACATTCCGTCTATTGGAGTCGGTCATCTCATGGGGTTTCGACTTCATTTAAAGAGAGGTGCCAACGTGCTTATAAACCTAAATGCAAGCTTACCGTGTGTGATGTGAGACTTGGAAGTAGTTATTAAAATTCACCCCTTCGAAACTGGCGTATACAAAAATAAGGGCATGTTTTCTTTAGTCGTTTTCTGTTTTCGATTTTTCAAAACAGTGAAAACACATTCTATTTCCTATTTTCAAAAACGCGTTTTTGTAAACAAGTTAAAAATTTACAAAGAAAATTCAAAATGACAAATTGTCGTTTTTGGTGTTTTCAGTTATAATCAAGCCAAAATTTTCAAAACGCGTTTTGTGTGTTTTCAATCACCGCCAACCACCACTGAGAGGGAGGGGAGGGGAGGGTAAACGGGTTTTCCATTTTTTTAATTTTTGAAAATAATTTTTTTTAAATGCAAAAAAAAACACATTTTCAACAATTATTCCCAATAAATCAAGATATGCTTCGTATTTAATAATTCTCTTGGTGATTTGACTGGAGAATCTTGACGAGAAAGTATTTATGGTCTGTTCTCTTTATTATTTTCAAGTCGTTTTCTATTTTCGATTTTTCAAAACAGTGAAAACGCGTTCTATTTCCTATTTTCAAAAATACGTTTTTGAAAACAAATTAAAAATTTACAAAGAAAACCCAAAATGACAAATTTGTCGTTTTTGGATTTTCAGTTATAATCAAGTCAAAATTTTCAAAACACGTTTTGAGTATTTTCAAAACAATTTTTCAAAATGTCAAAAAGAACACATTTTCAACAATCTCAAAATGGATATTCAAAACACAAAATCCAAAATGAATTCAAAACGCAAAACTGAAATACAAAGAGAACAACCCCTAATGTTTTAGTTAATCCCTCTTGGGGTTTGCCCGTCTTCAATGAAGGGGGTGCTTGTTCTCATAACACTGTTACGAACACTTGGGTAGAATTCATCAAAAACATTCTTGCGAGCGGACGTGCTGAATGTGCTTATAAGTTATAAGCCCGTAAGGCCAAGATTTTCACGATCGACGTCGAATGCAGTACAGCAGTAGTAGTAGCTATAGAAAAGAATTATCAGATCTTCCATTACACAGAGAATGTAGAAAACTTGCACTGCAAGTTTCTCTTCAAATAGTATACTTTTATCTGCATATTATGGCAGGTTGTTTAGGGGAGTATACAACAATAATAAACTAACAAGAAAAGGAGTATTTCTACTCTGCAGACTTGCTTTACTTTGAGTGGAAGCAGGACCAGCAACTGGATAAGAAGCCATTCTTTCTCCTGCATTATAATCAACAACATATTTCTAGTCAGCACCATTCTCATTAGGTATTCCGAACGGAATATTATTGGACAAAACTGTACATGACAATAAACAAGATTTTCGCTCCTTTTATTCCTTAATCTTTTCAAGTCAAGCCTATGTTCCAAACATACCATTAAGGGTTGAAGGAATTCTGCAATGATCATTAATAGACATAACTGTATAGGACAATAAGCAAGAATTTGATTTCTCTTATTCCTTAATCATATTGAGTATTGTCATGTTGAGTCTACCAACTAAAAATGCCCAGAACTATATAGGACGACAAACAAGATTTTCACTTTTTTTATTTTTTTATTTCTTTATACTATTCAATACCTATAAAATTTTCACTTTTCTTATTCTTTCATCGTATATGATATTGTCCAGTCTAGCATACACACTGGGGATATCGTAAGGGAGTTACAAGGAAATTCTGAACAGAACGTACCTGCTGCCATAGCTGCCACCACTGCTGCTGCTGCTTCCTGTACTTCCGTTGGAATTGCTTGTTCTGCTATTATCACTGTTACTTGAACACGTAAATCTTTTCTTCCACCACTCCTTGTCAGTCCCCTTTGATGACACCTCTGGCTTAGGAGAAACTTTTGAACTAGCATTATTTGCTAAATTCTTCTTCTGGGATTTAAAAGTAATTGGAAATACCATTTTGAGGAATAATCCCATGTTACCGATACTTCCATATCTAATCATCTTTGCCCTCTTCTCTTTGATCATACTCTCTTGCCTTTTCACTTTCATCCTCTGATCTGGTACTTGATTATCATGATTTTTTGTCAATTTATCTGATCCCTCTTCTTGATCTTGATCTTGAGTTTCTATCATAGACGGCTCTACAAAATCTTTCAAGGAGAGCTCATAAGAGGACTCAGGCCAATTCTTGACCATCTCCATAAGTTCCCCCTGCCCTCTAACAATGTCCTGCACCCTATTGTGGTGTAGAAGCGGCCGATCCGACGGAATTTTCTGTGGGACATTGTTCCATAAAGGTGGTGAGCAGACGCCAGAATCTTCTTCTTCTTCCATGCTTTGATGAGTTCTAAACTGAACTCCCTGATCACCATTCCAATTCCTGTAGTTCTCATAATTTTGAGCTGTTTTTCTAACCTTAGCATCAAAATTTACAATCCTCATACGCCCAAAACTCTCTCTTGTATAGCCGAGGGCTTTTGGAAATTCAATTCTTGAATCGTGCATGGTTTTAGAATGAAATTCTCATGTACTGTTAGGAACGGAGATTTTTTAATTGAAAAATGACCGTATCGAATATGAGAGAGTAATAAATAGTGGGGTGCCGCGGGTTGGGATACAGTTCTAGAGCGAAAATTCTTTTATGTGAATGACGACCATATTGAATAGAGTAATACTATTTGCAGTCGTTTACGATAATCACCCTACGTGACATATATGTGACGGTTAATAATTTAATAAATTAATGTGGTAGTTCTTTATTGCTTCATTCATCAAATCATTAACTGTCACATGTATACCCGTATGTCCACTACGATAACGAGCAACTGTAAATAACATTATTCTATTGAATATTAGCTCAGTTTCATGGAAATTACGAGAGGTCGAGGGGGAGAGAAGTAAATGGTGAATTGGGGTGGCATTGTCATATATGTTGTCTCGATCCATCGTCACTTTCCTATTAATGACAACAAATTTTTAATTGGCGAGGATAAATTTCTCTTGCAAAAAGTCAATGATTTCTAGATGGGAGCAATCTTTCTCCCAAATTTCTTGTTGGTCTCCTCAAGCATTAAATTTTGTTCTCTTTTCTTGGAGACTATGTGCTGGCATGTCCTTTTCATATCACGATATTAGTGATTTTTTCTCACAATGAGATTGTTATTACTTTCTCAAGTTGTTGTATGAGAAGATTTTTATTACCGTGTAGAATGAAAAAGCGTATTATTGGATTACTTTTGCTTTCAAAATACCCTTTTTCGGCATTGGTGCTCGTCGACATATCATATTAATCTTTATTCACCAATGAATTAAATTGACACGCCATAAGTGCTTAGTATAAGATAAGTACCGGTACTCATTATATATATAAGAAAAATCTTAGCCCATGTTTGATGAAAAATCTTAGTACCGGTGCTCTTCATCTTTTTGTTTTCGTATCAGTTTAGTTGTTACGATTGATGGTTAAAAACAATACATATTGAGATGAAAATCAATGGTGAGTCTCGTAAGTAGTATGAATTGAAATATAAATATGATTGACATCTCGACGAATTGATTTAGCATAAAAATAACCCCAAATTCCCTCCTTAATTATTATTATTTTATGTAAGCTTGTATTTGCAATAATTTGGTCGAAGTAAGGACAAACTTGATTACATAATCACACCCGTGTGCAGTGCAGATGTGTATTACCTCATCCAATAGATAATTAATTAGATTAGTCAAAAAAACAACTCTTATATTTGTGTGCTTCACGAGTAATCGAATTATGCTTATTTTCAATTTGATATTATAGAATAATATATTCGTAGGAATAAACGATTTTGGCTAAGCTTAAAAAATGGAAAAAAATGCAACATTTGTTTTCAACCTATAGACTTTGTAGAAATCTCGTTTTGAAATGAACACAATCTTCAACCTATCAATTCTGTAATATCGTCGATCTCTGTCCTAACTACTTATAAGTCAATTTTCTTTAATTAAAGTATCATTTAACGCTTACTCTTAGTTAAAATATTTTTAACTATGTTAGGTATTTAATGTAATTGACTATTCTGTGAACAAAAATGACTAAAATTGATATGGTGTAAAAAGTCAAGGAGTAGTGTGCAATTAGTAAAAGTTATGATATTTTAGATTTAGGGTTCGAGAATGGAAAAAAGGAAAAAGGGCACGGAATTTCGCTAACTTTTCGCCAAGGTTTGGTTCAAGCGTCAGAAACAGAAATTGCATCGTTCAACTGTCACCTCACCTTCTCTCGAGCGACAATGTTATTAAGGAAATTTTTATTTCGTTTTTAAAGGCTTTTTATTCGGCCCATTCATTCTCTAACCTACATATAAATATTTGAACGCCTCTGAACGGTTTTCTAAGGTTGATTATTGAGAAATTTCATATTCTTTTCATCCTCTAAAGTATTCAACCTTCATTGTTCAAATTGATGTGTTATTGGACGTGAAAAATATCAGTTTCACAATCCAAATATCAAACTGCTGCTTCCTTCATATCTGTCAGAGTTTTTGAAGATCAAGGGAAGGTGACTGGAGTTCCAGTCGTTGAAGAACGCGGTGTTCTTCGTGAATCCACGAAAGATAGGCAATTTCACAAAGTTGAGAGTTGCTGCAGGATAGCACAATCCAAGAGAGATTTGGAAACTGCAGCTGAGAGTGGTGCAGGAGCACATAATCCAGGATATCTATTAAAATTGTAGACAGGAGATCAGATAGTACGTGTCGTCGTCTAATTTGGTAGACTGTAAGTTAAAAATAGTTTATAGTGGATTGTTGACTGGTAAAGTGCCCGGAGTTTTCACCCAGTTGGATTTCTCCGTGATCAATTCTTGTGTTCATTTATTACCTACATAATTGCTGTATTTCAACATAAGATTAATTGAATTGCATGTTTAATCATCTAGAAAAATAATTAATAAGTGACTTGTTGCTAGTTAATTATTAAATAATTTTTAATTCTCCATAATCACCTATTCACCCCACTCTAGGTGTTGTTAGGGTCGAAATACATACTTTCAAACTACGTCTGGATAATTTCTAATTTTTTTCTACTCTACTTTATTTATTTAATGCCGATTAAATAACTTTTTCCAATTTTTAACAAATAAAAAAATTAAAACTTATGTATCACATATAAGTCCATCTCACAAAGATATCATTGCTTCCATTTTCACATCAATTAAGAAAATATAATTAATAGAGTTGTATAGTTTTCCTAATATATACCTACAATAAATATTGGTTTAAATATGAGTAATTTACATTCCTTTCATTCGTGAAAATATGCTTATTTTCCTTTTTTATTTGAAACAAATTTTAGGCATAGTTGTTAGAGTCGACCCGAACACAAACCCGGACAATACACCGGTCAATGAGTTAGTGGTTCAACTGGCGGGTCATTACATAAAAAACTTACAAAAAAATATATAAAGTATAAATTTTTTTAGGGGCAAAATTAAAATTTTTAATTTATTTTTAACTAATTATTTAGGTCTACAATAAAGTAAAATGTTGGACCAAATTTTAAAATTTTTTTTTCATAAAAGATGTAAATGATTCATTAGATAGATATAAGTTATTGAACACAAGTAATACTAAAATACTTTATGTTCAAGTGGTGAGAAACCCATTATTTTTCTTAAAGGTTCAATGTTCAATTCACTTGGACCCAAAAATTTTGTAAGAGGATTTCAAAACCCAATCAAATCGATCAATCGAGTTGGGTAAATTGCCGGTTAACTGTTAAGGGTCCGAGCCGGGCCTGGCCGAGTTTTATAACTATGATTTTAGGTCACTTTTATTTCGCTCGACCGGTGTATACTTCGGTCGACTGAAGTATGAGATTTTTGGAATTTAATTTTTATATAAAAATATTCATTTTTCCAAAATTTATTTCATATTATGAATGAAAAACATTTTTATGCAAGTGATGAATTATGAAAATAATTTGAGCTTTATGCACTTGCTAAGAATCGAAGAGTTAATACCTTTACATTTAAATTCCGATAAACTACTTCTAAGCTTTAATCTTCAAAGTTCTTGTTCTTTATTTGAGTTTTATGCATTTGCTAAAGATTGATGAGTTGATATATTTACATATATATTGAAGTTTCAATAAAGAACTTTTAAACTCCAATCTTCAAAATTCTTGTTCTCTTCGAGTCTCTTTTGATCGCTTGTTCTTCAATAGATGACGATTTGAGTTTTTGAATGCTCAAGAAGATTTATACATGAAAAAAAATTTAAGAAACAAGACTTGTTAAAAACATAAGTATTTAGTTTGTTATAATAAAAACAAATGGAGTTATATTTAATCATAGGTCAACACAATTACCTTGGAATCAAATTGGGGCTGGTACTCACTGTGCATAGCCGAATTACAGTGGTAATTTTCAAGATATGAAGTGGTCTATGGGTTCTTTCTGATCTTCTAATTGGAGGTGCGGACAAGTTAGGGGTTTGATGAGGTGATGCAGAGTCTGTTTGAGACATTATAGGTGAGTGTGCAGGTGAAGGATCCTCATTACGAATTGAAGGAGGAGATAAGTCTGGTGTGATGGAAGTTGAAGGATGCTGAAAAGGAATGTTATTGTTGAGGAAGAGTGGTGAGTGACTATTGGTGGAAGGATTTTGTGATGGAATACTATGGAAAGGAAAAATAGATTCATGAAAAACAACATTCCTTGATATGATATATGTCTGAGAAGTCAGGTTGAAAAGGCTTATAGGCTTTCATTCCATTGGGATAGCCAAGGAAAATGCAGGCATCAGCTCTAGGATCAAATTTTGTCCTATTCCTCTTGAGTGTAGATGTATAACATAAGCATCCAAATATCCTCAAGAGAGAGTAGGCTGGCTTTGTGTTGAAGAGAAGCTCCTAAGGGGACTTTTCAAAAAGTTTAGGAGAAGGAATTCTGTTTATAAGGTATGTGGCTGTAAGAATGGAATCACCTCAGAATTGAATAGAGAGATTGGCTTGAAACATTAAAGATCTCGCTACATTAAGGAGGGGTTGGTGTTTTAGTTCAACCACTCCATTTTGTTGAGGGGTTTCAACACAACTTAGTTGATGAATGATGCCTTTAGATTGGTAAAAATTTGTCATGTGGAACTCTGGTCCATTATCTGATCTGATTGCTTTTATCTTGGTTGAATTGGGTAGAAACCAGACTGTAAAAGGATGTAATGATGCTTCCGGTTTGAGATTTGTTGTTGATAAGAAAAGTCCATGTAGTCCTACTATAGTCATCTACAATGGTAACAAAATACTTGGAACCATCAACTGAAGGTTATTGAAAAGGCCCCCATACGTCAACATGAATC